ATAATCTTTTCGTCTATTATTTTTAATATCGAGAGTTTTCAGTATAAAAGTTGTTTGCCTGTAGTCTTTTAAACAACTTTTTATATTGAAAACTCTCAATGTAGCTCAAGTGTGATCTACCACTGAGGTGGTGGCATCCAGGGGAATTTTCTGTGGGAATTCAAGCCATCATTTAGTTATTAGATATGTAAAAGAAATAGGGAAATCTTTATGCGACTAGCTTGCTGGTCAGGAGCAACAGGCGTCGTTCAGTAGTTTTTATCCGGAAATAAAAAGTATAGATAAAACATAATAATTGTTAATATTTTTATTTTTAATTCGTTTTACTGCAATTCGCATCGATGTGCGTTACATAAAGCTAGTAAATATTGCATCAATTGTTTTTATTGCATTCTTTTCCGCGTGGTCTTATCCCAGCAGTAAACATGGTGTTTTATATTACACACTGTGACACCAATGAAAAGATTCTCTTTTCCTACTGAGACCCTTTTTTATGCATCTATTTGGCCAATTTTGGGTTGGAAACTGCCGCCGGTCTGCGTACAGGCAATCATTTCACACTAGAAAAGCCAATTAAAACGAGCAATTATTTATTGTGACATTGTCATATGCCGGGCTGAAATTTTTAATCATAATTTTAATTTATTTAATTAAAATTATATGCTCGCCATCTCAATTTAGTAGTGTTGAGCTCCTGTACGGTACTGTACAGTACATCATACATATCATACATATCTTGTTAGCAATAAAGTCATGCCAGCAATTCTATCTAGCTTCTTTTAGGGAATAATTTGAATTCAAACAACGTGACTTCCTTTCTAAATCGAAATTGTACATGCCATTAATCGGGCCTCCTGCCACTAATCTTTCCGAATCTTTTCTCCACTTTCATGTAACTAAACCCTTTATGCAGATTATGGAACGATGGACGGACAGGCGGACAGACGACAGTGAAAATTTATAGTTCTATAATCTTTTCAAATTGCACCCAATATCTGTATTTAGAAGGATGTGGATGATTTATGTTTCCTAAAACCCTCGTTCTCTCCAATCCGAGACAACGACTAACGGTGCCTAATTGGCAAAAGCGAACATATGAAAGATACAAATTGTCCCGGCATTTTTTAAAATCAAATATTACTTATAATTTATCTTTAGAAAATTTTTGATATTTGTCTATAAGTTTTGCAAAACTAAACTGTTTAAACTTTAAGCTAAATGTTATGTATTAAAACTATTTATTAGTATAGAAAGTAAATTTTAAATAGTTTCATGAGAAGTTCGAGTCCCAGGTTCTTCTCTTCTCCACTACGAATATGTGTATTACAGTTGGTTCGAAAGACACTTCACGATCAGAACAATAATTTTCAGTGCTTAATTCACGAGTATTTTACGGGTTTATATCGAGAATAACAGCACCAAGTGAAAAAGTCCCTGAGTGATTGTTTTTATACAAGAATCGGTCTTGCTGATTTTCGGGAATTATTTTCGCTGCCATCAAACATCTATCGTAAATTGACTTTCATATAAATTGTCATAAGTTTTTACTTAGCTGAATTTATTTTACATGTCAGATGTTTCTGTTTGAAATGATAACTACAGGGATGACTCGGAGAGCATCCAAGCTGTATAATAACCATCCTTCTCTCTCAGTTGGAAGAGCAGATGAAGCTTCCAATATTTTTTCCTTTCTTCTCCTCTTCGTAGTCTTTCTTTTTATGGGATTCTCCAATATGAAATACAAATTTAAACAATGGATAGAGGTAAATAATTACATAAATCCAATACGATTGTCCAATACGGAGCCAGTAGCTTTCACTCAGATCCTCCCGCTGTAGGAACTCTTGATTAATTGATCAATTATGACTAACGGTGAACTGACCATCTCTGGAAAAACCGATCCTTCCAAGTGGAGGACAAAATCGCTCTGTCTTATGACTACTCTCATGAAGCCTACTTGGCATAGATAAAAGAAATGGGACACGCTATAGAATGTTACTAGAGTTGAATTCACTTTTGAAGAATTCAAATATGACATTTATTATTAGTTTTAATGGTAAAATGTTGTTCGGATTACAAGAAATTAATAGGTATGAATTACTTAGAACTCAATCGTTTTGTAAATTGTGAAATCCTACCAAGGTTTTTAGGATGATAAAATTGAATCTACGGTCTATTAGACTCGAAATATGACAGGTTGAGTAACTATTAATTAACGTAGAAACGACAAAGAAATAAAATTTTTGAGAAGACAACGAGATTTGACAGCTTTACTCGCAGCCAGTTACAATTTACAATGCAGGTTATTCCACTTACGGCGATTGTGTCGCTGTCACCTGATGACTCATATAATCTTGGTAAACTTTGCGACATTTTAAATGGCAGCAATCTTTCAACTCTTATATTTTTCAATTTAACTTTGTATTTATTTTTTCTAACATTTATTATTAATATATTACTTGAACTGCCGTTATTTAAATTAATTTGTTTCTATATTCATATTTTTATCTTCTCGTTTTCATAATTTAGATTTTTTTGTCATAAAAAATACAATGATATCTGTAATCGTCTACTATTTTTTTAAACATCAATATCGAAATTTTTACACCATGAAGTATATAATGCTATGGACGATGGGTAAAAGTATGATCTAAACTGCATTTGAAATAATAATCTCTGCATGCTAATTGGGTGCGATGAAATCGCCACGCTAAAATATAAGTTGTCTCGGTACGATGTCTCCAAAGTACTTGAAGATGAATCTTATGAATCTTACCGGGAGGCCATTTTACTGCGCGTAAAATCGTGATAAAGGCGATTGAATCACCTCACAATCGCTCTAACTAAAAAGCCTTTATTAGTGTCAAGATTTTATCAGTTTCTTGAATATTAAAAACAGAGAATTTCAGCATAAAATAACAGGTCAAGTGCGAAGATGCAAACATTATATTTTTATAGGCAGGTGAAGTTGAGATTAAACGGAGGTTGCAATTTTAATGTAAAGACTATTTGTGTTGAAGGCACTAAAGTGGAAATCCTTCCGTTTAGGGACATTGACATTTCATTTTTGTAAATATCTGCCATCGAAATTGAAAATTGAATTATGTGACTAGAGTATTAATTATTCTTAACGTAAGCATTTCTTAATTAAAATAGGTTAATATCATTTAACAAAAGCAAAAATCTGAAAAAATTAAGTTATCTTTCTAAAAATAAACATTGACAATGAGATAAAAATGACCCCATTTTGATGAGTAGACGTTTGTTTCTAATACAAGTGTTTGAATTCGTATTGTTCATTTACAATAATCTACTCAATTTTATCGGTTGAATAAGAGCCCTTTTTGGATTATTTTATAGCAAATCTATGGGCATCGTCTACAAAATATTAAATACAAATTCAAATGCTTTAATTTTGAATTCTATGGTAAATAATTTTGAGATGAGGCACATCTTTGGTATGCTCATATTAGTTTGCTGATGTTAGAAGCAGTATCAGCAATGTCAAAATGACACACCCGTTTAAATGTAACTTAAAAATCATTAGAAAAATCATCATTCTTTGTTTTCAAACGTAAAACTTGCAATTTGAATTAATTTTAACACGTTCTTGCTTTAAACACTAACAAACTCATCAAACTTATAATAAAGTTGTCCAAATTCTTTTAGTGGTCAGACCGTGACAGAGGGGTTTGACGTATTTGAGTCTTCCCAGCCATATAAATTTCATATGTGATTTTCAGCTTAGCATCTCTATGACAAAAGATCTCTATTGCTGCCTTCACCGCCTCGTCTTCCAGCCTTGAAGCTAACCGGTGGCCAATTGTATAAACTCACTAAACACGTTGGCCAGGAAAATGTTTTTCACAAGCAAGCTTTTTCTGAGCTTCTGCACGTGTCTTACACGTAAATAGTTATCAGTTTGCAATAGTAAATTTTCTGAAGGATTTAATTGGATTGGATTGATAGAATAAGGCACTTGAGGGCAGTGCCAAAAAGAGGAGGTTTTTTTCCGGGAGAACGTTTCTGGAAAACTGGAAAATGGCATTGGTTTGGGTTTTAGATACTGAAAGAAAACATAAACAACTACATGTGTTCAGCTTGTCAATGAGTCATAAGACCAACTATCAGTGACTTTTTCTGTTCAGAGATTGGTAAGTAGCTCTCTCTTCCTGAAAAGACAATTTTTCTGGATAAATCTCCGAAGTGCTGTTCTGTCTTATTCCATTAACCCAAATTCAATCCAATTTTCAAATCTTCGAACTATGTATAACTTTTCTGGTTGCAATAACATTAGACTGTAATTACAACTTTCATTTCCAAGTGTTAAGAAATAACGTATGTTAATGTAAATTAGTGAATAAGGTATTATATAAACACTACAAATTATTTACAATTTAAAAAATAAATTAAAACTTTTCAGAAAACTTACGCAATTGTCCTATAAAAATATATCGCCCACTTTGATCAGGCTGGGGTAAAACTCTCATACAATTTGTAGATAAAGCTTTTTCTAACTTTGATGGAAGTAAATTTTTAAAATACGCCGGATATTCTAGTTTTGTAGAATAATAATTCCTAAGTAATTGAAGTGAACCTTCAACATTAAATTTCATGGCACGAAGAAATCCAAGAAGAAACAAGTCGTCCATTTTGCATTTAATTTTATGTTCAACTGAAAAATTAATTAAAATTTATTATAAAATAATGCATTTAATAGTTATACTGTTATAAAAACTAGCGTAAAAATTACAACTAAAGACATTTTTATATAGCCTATATGTGAAATTAGTAAAAATACAATTAGGTGTTTTGAATTATAAATGTTATAATTTCTATAAATGTTTAGTATATCTTAACGCCTACTGTATATACACATCTTTATGTATGTGCCATTCGACAATAAACTTCCTAGGCTACTCTAAGAAAATGGCTTATTAGGTGAGTTAGCGTAGCCGTAAAATTACACGAGTTATTATAAAACTATATAATTTCAATGCTATCCTAAGTAAAGTCAACTGCAATGCAGCTTTAATTTCTTTTTAACCTACGAAAATGTTTTATTTAATCTAAAGAATAGGCTTACCTAATTCTTCTGGAATAAAAATAAATACGAAATTAGCAGAATTGGCTACAAAATAACTAACTGAAAAGCATCACCGGAAAATTGCTGCAAAAAGTTTCTCCAGTTCTCGTTATTGTACGTGCAAGAGAAATGTAAAGGAAATGATTATCAACCAAATCGAAAAAAACAAAGGAACAAGACACTGAATCTTGTGAAGAGATGTGGTTAGTGGTGATATATCTGACGTTTTTTTTATTAATTTATTAGGGTGATTATACTTGCGTAAGTTGTGCAGAAGAATACGAGATATCTTTGATAATGTAAGATTTTATTAAGTGCATTCATTGTTGGAATGATCGCTCTAAGAATACATCATTTTCGTTAACATACGCAAAGACCCCTTACGTGTTATATTGTTATGTTATTCATCTAACTCTTCTCAAAAGATCAGCAATCTATCCTATATTTATTGTCAAAGTCAAATTGTTTTCTTTAAGAAAAAGATATATACTTTTACATAACTCTAAAATAATTGTATATTTTAAGACTATATTCGATATGACATTTGTTTAAGTCGATATTCTTTATATAATTTACAAAACTTTTGCTTCTAGTAATAAAGATTATTTCGCGAAAATTCGGTATAAAAATAAGTTATTACTGAATGAAAATATAATAAAAAAATAAAAGTGTAGTACTAATGAGTTNCTTTTGCTTCTAGTAATAAAGATTATTTCGCGAAAATTCGGTATAAAAATAAGTTATTACTGAATGAAAATATAATAAAAAAATAAAAGTGTAGTACTAATGAGTTTTAATTCATTACACGTTCATACATAATTATAGGCAATTAATAAAAAAAAAAAAACATGAATATCATCATAAGTGAAATTATCGAAAAAAATATATATTATTATCTAATTTTATCGTGGAAATAATTTATATACTATAATATATACAATAATACTTACTTATAAGTTTTTTTAAATCTTCAAGAGCATTCTCATCCCAGGGGTAATCTTTACTGTCCTCAGGAAACATTTTCTGAAATGCATCCATCTTAATAATCCTAGTGTTTATTCTTTCTGTCTCAAAGGAAAATAAACATATAAACATTTAACATATCAAGTAAAATAATATTAGAAAAGATGAGTAAAAACAAGAATATGATGTTTAAGTAACTAAAATTTCTCAGTTTAGATGCTCCTGTGAAAAAGTTTTAATGGTATTTTTAAACATCTAATGAATTTAATTAGTAAAAGTGGAGGTCAAAAACATGTAAGGAGGAATTAATTTTATAAAAACAAATTATAAGCAGAGAATATAAATTTTTGTTGACCTATTATCAGTCCATAAAAAGCTTCAACGTAAACGTATCAAGTTGTAGGAGTTGCATCACTTAAGGCAGATTGTAATCTTATTGTTTATGCATTAAATTCATCAGATAGGATTATAAATTTAATGTTTATTCTATGAGTAAAACCTTTACTACAAATTCTCGAAAATGAAAAATGGAGAGAATCAAACAGCTTTTCGTATTAGAATCATATTTTTTTTTCGAAGCTACATCATTAATTTCGTAGACTGTATGTTATTTTGTATTATTTAAATAAAAGTATAAAATTATTTAAATTTTAGCATTATTATATAAAGTTTAAAAGCAATTTTTAACGAAGAAAATTAATACATTTTGTGTGTTTGAAGGACAAACTTAAACTTTGCCCTTCCAATAAACAAAGATTGTAAAACAGAAATAGCTTTGTAATGCTATCAATAAATCGATATAAAATATTTGTATAAATATTATTTTATTATTTCTATATAACATTTAAAAATATTTCTACATAAAGTAGTAAAATTTCTACGTAAATCTATTACTAAAATCACTAACCTGGCTTAATAGAAGCTGACTTTTGTCTGTCGATTGTTCAAATCAATAGAAATTAACCAGCTGTGCATGTGACTAAAATAAACTGATAACTACTTATACATTAAGATATAAAGATAAATAAAAACGACCGCAATCGCACATTTAATACAAACGTCACTTCTTTAATGATAACATTTCAAACATAAATAAAGTATCAATTAACACATCTTGAATTGGAATATTAGAAATATTTTAAAAATAAAACTTGTAATTATTTAAAAATTATAAAAAATTAATTATATTGCTAACGTAAATTAATTTTTTGTNTCTCACATAAAAGTGAACTTGTTTTAATTATATATGCCAAAATCCCCTTTCTCTATTTAATTAAACGGTGATTTAGATAAACTTTCCATCCAGATTTTATGAGTGATAAAACTTACTATAGATAGACTAAAATTAGCTCTAGCGATTTCTATCTAGAATTGATTTTTAATTGATTCCTACTAATATAAATCATAAGTTTATCACATAATTTATCAATAATAGAAACTGTATTGGTATATTTTCTATGGTTGTATGAGCTGTTTACAGACCAAATTAATTTAATCTATTGATTATGCTAGAAAAGTAGAAATAGTATTTATATAATCGTTGTTATTTTATATGAATGTTTCATGTTATTGTAATGAAATAAATGTTGTTAAACAATCTCTCCGAATCTCTTCCTCTACTTAAATTTGATTGGAAGGTTAATTCACTTTCTCTTTGTTGTAAAAGTGTTAAGCTGAACACATTAGTGATTTTAGTAAGTGCTAAGCTCGCTAGTAAGTGATTTTTAAGTGTAACAAGCGCTAAGTTATTTAAATATAATGGTTAATAATTAATGACAAAATACGCCTATTTAACGCTGCGTAAAATATATTTAGCTATCCAAATGCAGCCAAATCTGTAGATATGCACAATACATTCCATTAAAACTAATATAGGTTCAAAAACAAACCGTATCAATTCTGTAATATTAGTTAATGAGTCCAATATATACTTTATAAACTTATGCTTTCTTTTATTCGTATACGGTATTGCAAAACATGGGCGATTTGCCAAGGGAATGCCTCTCGGAAAGACTTTTATGGGTATCTTGTCCCCATTTAGGTTTTAGTAACGTAAAGAAAACACGGAAATGTGCATATGGCCAGCCAGCTGGCAAGGTGTGAACTCACAACCAATTACCAGTGTTTATCCATTGGACCACTGGTAGGTGTACAAACTCATGGAAAACGTTTACAAGAATTTATTAAATGTATGGAAAGTTTTAACACGTAAAACATATAAAGAGTATTTTATAATAAAAGATTTCCTTCTAAATTGTTGAGAATAAGTAATATTATAACATTTTCCTTGATACAATTTCTTAATAAGAAAAGTATCAACTGCAAAACTTTACTTCATTAAATTATAGAAGTAAACTTTTATACAGGGTAAGATCACGTGAGAATGATTGTAGTACGTATTTATCGACGCATGTAACTCGTTTAACAGTGGAAAATAAAAATATAATTCATATACAGCCAAGGGTTTTAATAGAAATGAACAAAGTTAAATGTAACAAATGGTAACAACAAAATGATACTTGTCCATTTAGGGCATCTCACTGTGAAAATTGACTAATACTTAAGGGTAAGATGCATATTTTATTTAACACTTAATCAATATTTTGCGTTATTTGTATTTTCCAAACTCATTATACTCTGTAACAGATAAAAAAATCAATTTTATGTTTACCATTTATTGTAAATTTAAAATTTTTATTTGTTTGGTATACATTGCTAAATGTTGTCGTGAATTATACAGTTGGTAATCAGTAAATCAGAATTAGCTACTTGCTGAAGTTTTTTAGTAACACTACAATGTCTACCAATCGTACTAGCCGGCTCATCGGTATATACAACTATGCAGTTTTTCCATGCTAACAAGTAATAAAATAAGAATTAAATGCGTTATAAATCTCATCACTTGTTTATTAATTTAATTGTACACAACACAAGAATTATCCTTTTATTTCTTCCAAAATTAAATCAATATATTTGACGTATCAAATATATTTTTATATACATATATATACACGCTGGTTTATTATAATCAATACAATTGAACAACTCGACAAATACTCACTCTACAAAATATTCATTACAACAGAAATGTTAAATTTCAAGGGAACCACAAGATGGTGGTATTGGTTTAATCATACATGGCACTACAATCGGTGAAAACGAATTAACTTTATTTTCTGAAATGAGAACATACATTTTGTATTGCATATTGTACGGCTCTATATTAACCCAGTAGTGACATTAAAACACTGTCTGCATGGGAATCATTTCCGTAACATGCCTCTTATTCTGTTATTGATGTCATTATTTCACACTGGCTATATCTTTTCAGAACAGATTATATTCGCAAAAACTCGTGTTTAGTAGTCGTGCTGTTACTTTAAACATACAACCGGCAATCCTCCATAGACTTTACATGAAGATTTTGACCTGGAATAACTCGGTCCACAGATCGAATTTCAAAATGAACTTTTCGACAAAATATTTATTTGACATATTTCAGTTATTCAAAAATAAAACTGAAAGCACGAATTTAAATGACACTTGATTTTGATATTTATAGAATAATTTCCTCAATTTTAATTTAATTTAGTGTTAATTAACGAATCCTAACGAACAAGATACAATTTTGTTGTCAAGGTTATCAGGAACTTTTGCCCTCTTATGATCTTCGACTTTGATCTTATTTAAATTATAGTTATTTAAATATCTATATGTTTAAGTTATATGGTTATGTAATGCCACTCTGTGAATTATTATAAACTTCTGCATAAAAAAGTATATTTACTATACAATTACTTAGCAATTTTCACTATTAGATTTTACAACATCAATTAGAAAATTGTAATATTTTTGTAAATTTAAGTTAAAAACTGGCGTGTAAGAAATTTAGACAAAACATTACGTCATAATAATCAGCATCTTTTATTGGCTATTAAGTTTAAGTTACGTATAGATAAGTTTAAGTTACGTTTTCACTTAATATTGATCTTTGGAAAAGACAAAAGTGAGTACGCCAATTTAATTTATGCGCTTGTATCTATTTAGGAAAAATCTAAGAAAGTTAGCAATGGAAATGATACTTTCATACGCAATTCACGTACAAGTTACAGTCGTAAAATTTGAATCTAAAGACAATTCTTCTTAAGAATTAAAAAGGGTTAATGTAGGCTGCTTGCATAAAAGTAAAGAAATGACAATTACTGTGTTACTTCCACCTCGCCTTTTGCAGGAATGGGTTTTTGAAAATTATAGGATTTTGTACATGTTAATATTTAAGTATTTTAAGGTAAACGTTAGATTAATTTTACAATACGTAAATATTTCTGTTTGTGGAAATTATGTTTTGCCACAATATCTACTAGAATAAGCGAAGAAATTTCAAATGTTCGTGAGGAAAGGATCATCTGCGCATTTCGCCATATTGTCTGAAATTTCTGTAACCATACCAGAACCTCTTCTTATCACATAATATCACGTGAAGTAAAAATATTTATTAAATTCCAAATTGTTATCCAAATTGTTTATGAATAACGTCGCATACGGATTCGACGATTCTGCCCATAGATAAATGTTTATTCATGTGACCAATAATATTATTAGGCTATAATTAGATAAGAAATGAATAAACATAAGACCTGTTAGAAATTAAACCAAAATTCAACTTTGTAGATTTACCTTTTATTTTGGTTATTCTATAATATACCAGATGAAAAGGCCCGAAATATATAATGAAATTTATTTATTTAATTATTTTTCTCCCACTTTCTTCTTCATGCAAAGACATCGTCTACATATCTTTTAAAATACACTATATCTCTTTTGAAATCACAAAGAACAATTTTGTAGTTTTCTCACCACCAGCACATATAATACTCCTGATACAACACTTCGTATTGGGGCTCCTCTTCTTTGTCTGTATGGTTGGCCATTAAAGGTTAAACATAATTCATAATATACGAGACTAGCCAGTTCTATCAGCTAATTATTGTAACGTACAAAATCTGGGTTCTTGTTGAGCATGAATTCTTTGTACTATGGATGAATGACCAAAAAATCGATGAGTTTATTAGTAAGGTCAATAACAATGATGACAGCCTCGAGTTGAAGATTAAACAGAAAGTTTCCTCACGGATACATTTTTTAGACATAGATATTGAATTCAAAGAAGGGTATTTGGTCACCAGTATGTACGTCAAACCGACGCACAGCCCGCTTTACATACCATCACACTCGAATGATCCTTACCAATATAAACTGGCTGCTTTACGAGCTGTCATTAGAAAGGCCTTTTTGTATTGTAGTAAAATCAGATAAGAAATGAATTTTAGTTTCCTCTTCGTGAATGTTTCACAAGACTTTGAGAAGACAAAAATGAGAGTAAAATGATTTAAATGACAGTGCTTACAGGTAAAATTCAAACTGATTTAAAAATATATGAAGTAAATAATAACTGTATGACACCATTTCTTTTCTTAAAAAATATATATAGGCCTATATTATAGTAAATTTAATTTTGTTATTACTGTATTTAAAATAATACTATGCATTTTGTGTATAGAAATTTATATTTACATAATAACGTTGCTTCTTATTTTGAATTTAGTAATTATAAAGTTCCCTTATAAAAATTTTACTATAAATAATAAAAGTTTTAAATCTAGTAAATTTTCAAACAATTAATTAATTTTTTACATTACACATAACCAATGATTTTCTATAATTATGCATTGTAATCATGCATTACAGCATCGTACGGTCATAATGGATATAGTTGATGGAAATGTTAAGCCTTAATCCTGTCCCTCTCCCCCCGTTGGGAGGAATTTCGAAAAATCCTTCTTAGTGTGCGTTTTCGTGACGTACCCTAACTGTGTACCAAATTTCAACTTTCAACTCCTAACCGTTTGGGCTCTGCGCTGATTATTATTATTCTTATTATTATTATCAACCCGTCTCGATTATATATTAGATTATAAGAAAAATTTAAACTTAATTCTAACAATCCAGAAGCTGTAATGAATGCTATAAAGGAGAAATTCCAAATGTGAAATAACCCTTTATTAAATTATTCAGATGACTTTTGCTAACATTTTTGAATAATATAAACAAAAACTGTGGAAGAATTGATTACATACTTCATTTTTTTCGTAAAAGATAAGAAATAAAAGATTTTCTATTTAAAATAACACAATTTAATAAATTGTTATTATAGATTTACTATGGTTAATTATGTATATTCAAATATTCTAGCAACATAGAGCAAAAATAAGATAAATTTGTTTCTGTAAATATCACCGAAATTTGCAAATACTTGTATGAAATTTGATATTTTATTCAGTAATTTTGCTATAACGTTTAATTGTTGTCCACATAGTTTTAAGTACATATTAACATTCAAGCTTTTCAAAATTTTAAAAACATATTTGTATATGGATGTTCTCTTGTATAATTTGGTGAAATGATATTTTCCACTGGAAAAGCTGCACAATTCATATAAACCAACCAGATAGATAAACAGATAGATTACAAAGTGTTGTTATCCACAGATAAGGCCGAAGATAAAAGAAGATATGCATTTGGGTAAAAAAGTAAAATAAGCATCTATTTGTAGTTTAACTGTTTTAAGTTGTCTTTTGTTCCTAGGAATAGGTGTCGATTGTCTATTTTGACTCTGAGAGTTTATTCTATATTATAACATTTTAAAATTTTTTAGAACTATAATTACATTTTTAAATTCAATTTTAACTAAATACCGAACCTATTGAATTCTAATTTAAATTTTAAATCATTTATTTTAATTATTCTTCAATTATTGGTTATTTTTATAAAATATTTTTTTAATTGCTTGATGTTTACAACTTTTATTACAGAAAATTATAAAAAAGAAATAATTTGCATTAAAATTGAAACGATTTTATTAGAGTAAATTTCATTAATAAACGTGTACAATTTTGAATTTAGAATATGTTTTTATCAAATTTAAAATTAATTAAATTTTTGCAGCAGAAATAATCGTATCGAATGCTGTTAGCGTTGTAAATTTTGCGGGAAACAGCCAAATTTAATATTTATAATTTTGAAGATTATCCAATTTCAATCTCAATCTGAAATTTTCAATTTTCCAATTGAAGATTTTTTTCTTCACTTGCAGGAGAAAATTCCTGATGACCTGCTGGATCTTGCTTCTGTTCTGCTTCATCGTATTGTTTGTTATTTAAGTCTTGATCTTTTATATCTTCCTCACCTTTACTTTTTTTCAAAAATTTGAAGCATTCTTCATAAGTTTTCTTTACTAAATTTAATTTTTTAAATTTTTCAAGAATTGTCCGTAGTTGTTCAAATATTGAAAACATTTCCTGTAAAAACAAAATTGTATACACAAATTAAATATATTTTACAGTTACAGATATTATTTGACGGTAAACACGAAAATTCTATGAAAGTGGATTGATGTAAAAAGAAAAGCAACATATGGATGAACCACGATTCATGCATTTAAAAAGAAAATGTTAAGTGTTAGACACAGAAGAAAACCCAGAAAATTGACACTATGGCTCGAGAACCTTTCAATATTCAGAAAAATCGAGAGAGATAATAGTAATGTAAAGAAACGCAACACTCAGTAATAATTAGAAATATGAATAGTTTTTCAGTATTGAAGGAAGTATAAAATAAATATTTTAATACGTACGCATGAAGTGGAATCAGAAAGAGGAATGTTCTGATTTACGTTAAAAAGTCCTCCGCATGTTGTCCCGTGCTTATTGTATTTAAACGATCCACCTAAACTATCACCGTTAGGCATGGGTGTATGCCATTGCTTAATGTGATCTTCTAAATCTGATTCCGTTTTAAATGTCATGCCGCAATATCGGCATTTGTAAACCACATCAAGAAACACGTTCATCAAATACTCTTCGTACTTAAATGTTTCATTTGAACCAGCACCGTTATTTCGGGGTGTATGTGCTTTATTAATGTGTTGTTGTAACGCTGATTGCGTATTAAACTTCTGGCCGCACCATTCGCATCTGTAAGAATCATCCTTCAAATTTCTTAACTCAAAAACGTGCATTTTGTTTTTATGAAGTTGGATCCACAAGGTCAAACTTAACTCTGATATAAATTATTATTCTGCAAATCTTCAAAAACTCTTTCCCGCGTCTAGACGGATCGTTTGCGAATATGCGACTAAATTGTTGACCTCAACAATTGAACAATTGATATATTGTTTTTCTGTGAAAATTAGAATTGAATTGTTACCTGACTATTGAATTTAAAGCATTTTTCTTATTTATCTTCTATATGATATTTTGTAAGTTACGGTACTTTTTATATTTAGGAAAAAAATATGACACTTCAAATATTTAGTGTTATAAAAGATCTAGGGATAAACTTAGACATATGACTATAAATTTATTTAATTTTATTTTTTCTCCTGTTAGATATAACAGTGGGAAAATGTGGCGATTGGTCAAAGAATCATCTTTAAGATCATTATATTTTTTTGAATCAATGCACCTTGTAACGCTGAGATATAGAAACAAATTCATGCGTTTGTACGACACGATTTTGTTCACTCTCTTCGAATCTTAATAACTTCTGTTTTTTTCGTTGAAAATAAATGAAATTTTACAAGAATATTTGCGTATTAGAGGTATTCTTGCTGTTAAATTTTGGTAGTTGAAAGTCTAGGGAGTGGAGAGATAACAAAGATCGTTTGTATTTGCAGTTGGGTCAGACTTAATGTGTATTTTACTTGTTACTAGCATTTACGACTTTTTTTTATAAAACATATCCTTATCTTCAAAATAAAACTTTTATCATTTTAAAATAGTTAAAAATATAAGGTTTTTAAAATAAAATACTAACATATGCCACCAACTGTTTCTGGGAAAGTTAAGTAACGCGTTACTGGATTTTTAAACTAGTTGACAACATAATNTTTATCATTTTAAAATAGTTAAAAATATAAGGTTTTTAAAATAAAATACTAACATATGCCACCAACTGTTTCTGGGAAAGTTAAGTAACGCGTTACTGGATTTTTAAACTAGTTGACAACATAATATGTCTTTGAAAGCTGTTAAAATTATAACCGTTAATTGTGATTCATTATATAAAACAATGCGCTTTGGTCTATTGTGTGCAGCCTCGGGACGGAAAAAAGATTGAAATTTTATTAGATAAACCGTTCTGTAGTATATTTTTCATTGTTTGAATGTAATTTCTCTGAATTGCCTGTATTTCACAAGTAACAATTGCAGAATAGACTTTCTTCGTCACTTTCTACGACAGCACATAAATTGTACGCCCACTTGAAGCAGTTTTGACAAACGATCCAACCTTGAATATGTCCTGCTCTGAATATAGACAAAAATGGAAAGAGCACAATAACTCGTTGGGAAGACGGGAAAATTTTGTTTCAGACCGTGGTGACAAATTACAATAATTTTGACAATATGGACATGAGCTACTGGGGGGCCTCATATGAACTTTTATCTGTTCACATCACTTATTTACCGAAACGAGTTCTGTTCTGCTGTGCGTTCCATTACAGTATGTTCTGGTTTCTCTCTGACTTAAATTAAAGATTAAAGGTTTAAAATGTTCTTTATATGGTGAGTTATATCTTCCAACATTTCCTTTTAAAAATTTTTCGATCTGTTTTGTATCATCACTCTTTTATTAGATAGATTTGTCAGTACACTCGTCAAACAGACAATTTTGAATATAGTGTGTGATCGGTTAACGAACATAATCTGTTTAAAGACTTTGTTCGCTATCCGAATTGTTCGTTAATTAAACGATAATTTTTATATCACAGGTTTTTATGGAAATTTGAACGTTAATTCTTAAGCCCGAGGTAACTCGGACAAGTTCCGTAGCGTTACATAAAACTCGGTCGCTTGGGCCTTCCAATTTTTTTTGAATTTATGGATGTTTTCTAAAAAGTCTCGAAAATTTTTCCAAAATTTTTTCTCGCACGAAAAAATTATATAGCAATTTTAATCTACCTTTAGGCTGCGTACACACTAGGTGTTTTTAATCGCGCGTTTTAAAGAACCAAGAGTTCTACATAGGCGTACACACTCAAATGCGCGCTTTTGGCCAAGTGCAGGTTAAACGCGCGTTTATAGATTTTTGTTAAAACGCGCGTTTTGCGGGCGTCAGCCGAGCGATTTGAGATATATGTGCTGCCATGTTACTGTACAGTACATGAGATCGCGCGTTTTCGGGTACAGTGGAAGTACGTTTGCCAAAATGGAGAACGATCATTTCGATACTGATCTATTTATTGATGAAATCTAAAAGAGACTAACCACCGTCATATGATTTTATAGATATTTTAAAAGAATTAAAAAAGTTGGGTTTATTTTGTCTTAGTTTTGGATGCAACGTCGCAAACATTCCATGTGTCAGTCTATCTCGTAATATTGGGTGCACCCTAAATTTTCTTTGCCTATGCCATCATCTTTTATAGCGACGATGGAGGAGGCACACACAATCAATTACTTTCTCGTCCATTTCCAAACTGAGCCAGTGGGTATGCTCCCCAAACGCTGGTCGAACACCGAGCTAACGCGCGTTTATTAAAACGCGCTTTTAAAAACGCCCAGTATGTACACAATTTTAGTGACAGACGATTAACACTTAATTGTTTTTTATGGGGTTTTTTTCAATCAAATTTTATTCATCGTGATAAAGTTCTAGTGCACAAATTTTACTTCGGTAAAGTTATTTAAAGCTAGTTTCTGATGTCAAAAACGACCTCCAATAGTTTTTTAATTTTTTTAATTAATAGATTTTATTAATACGTTTAATTAAGTTGGGGAGTCAGAAATCGCAATAAAAAACGTAATTTTCTAGAATATTTAAAAATATACGGCCAGCTAGTATTCACTCTACTATAAACCTTTCGGCTCCTGTAGGTTTTATGAGAATGTGGGTAGCCTGAGGTAGGACGAGGTCGTACCTCTTTTTGATAGGGAACAGTTCGGTGAGAACTGCCCACTGGTCAGTGGATGGCTTAGAAAATGCTTTTCCTATCCCGTACAGTCGGGATTTTTTTTGTCAGGTCGAGTGGAGGAGGTGAGAGGGGTCGTCGGTAAAGTGTGAGCGATACTCGAAATAAAGACGACTTTTAACAACAAAACGACATTTATTGAGACGATAACATAACTAACATAATTACATTGAGCTTAACTCGAACGGACACGCGGGAGTGGAGGGAAACGCGCCGAGAGAGAGTTTACATTAATGGGTATCATACCTCTACGAGGAGGGAGGGGATCGGACGATCGTACGTTTTCTAACCGGATCGGACAAGTTGTCTTGAGGAACGGACAGCGGCGATGAGGATCGGCACGGGTTTTCGGCGATCCCGAACGGTGATGACGGACCGTGTTAACGGACAGCGACGACGGACCCCTTTTTCTCGTCATCACCCCTCTTTTATCTTTCTCGTCACGTTACTGGGTTTCACTTAATCGCCGATTCTTAGGATAAGTTCCTAATGAATCATTTTTCGGTTTCCCGAGAGATAGGAAACGGCTTCGTGGGAAGGAAATGTATACATCCTTTTTCGTAAAATTTCGAAAAATGAAGTTTTTCTTTGTGTAACTTTAATAATGATATTTAATTTAATTTGAGCTTCTTTATTTAATGTTATTTTATTCGGTCCGACCCTCACATCAATGTCCCAGGAAATATAACACCTGCTGTTCTGAAGGTCATCCAGCTGTAAACACAATTACTCATTGGCATCAGATTTTGCAGAAAGGCAAGACAATGGATGTTAAACTTTGAAGCTTTCTCTTCAAAGTCAACGCATTTCTTTTGATTTTTTTCAGTTTTAAGTATTTTTAGGTTTAATTATATTAATATTAAAAATTCGTAAAGTCCGATGGAGTTAATTCCTTCTGGAGACTCCAAAAAATAAAAAAAAAATATATACTTTCTTATTGCGTTTATTTAAATATAATAATAAAAATCTGTATATACACATTCTTGCATTTTTATTAGTCATGTTTTTTCCGTTTGTGGGAATTAAAGAATCTGGCTAATGTTGATTGTTTTTATCTCTTATTCACGATTATACAGAAGTAATTAATAACATTGTAATTGTAGAGAACCCCAAGCCTATTTATGTCAACTTGGTTTGGATTCCATTCTAAGACCGTTGTTCTGACATCTTCCCACTTCTTGAAAAGATCATTAGTTGCAAATATCCTCATTAATCCTCTTTTTCAGAAGAAAACATATCTCGCCAGTTTCTTAGTATTTTTCATTCAAGAGTTCTTGTTCTTCTGTTTTCAAATCCGTTTTAGGTTCCATTATGAGCTATTCAATGCTTTTTATTTGTCAGAAGTAATTTTTGTTACTCCTTTAGCTGCTTGAGTCTTCTTGATTATACAGTATCTTTTTTAGAGAAGATTGAACTGCGACCGATTTCTCAACGGGGTGTTTCTCAACGGGGGCAATATCTCCCCATGTGGGCGTTTTTCCACGTTGAGAGGGTAATTAGTAACAATTTATATTTTGGGGGCGAAAAACAATTTTTGGGCGATATAGTAAAACATTATATTAAGATTAATTAGATATTTTATTCGTTATATCGTACAATAATTAAACATATAGCATTATACCAGTCACTAGTCTATTCAATGCAATACGAATTTGGCGTTAGCCTTGGCCCTCGGCATCGAAATTTTGAAATAAAGATGGCGATACTATGTTGAAGGGGGCGACGATTCGTTAGAGGTTGAGAAACACTGGTATAAATGACTGAAACACCGCAAACTCAGGGCGAGCATTCGCAAGTTATACTTAGTAGATGTGCCATATTTGTCTTCACTGACTTTGGACAGACAAAAATCCTAGGAACTTCCACATAGTACTTAATCGCCACATATAGCTCACTTTGAGGTAATTATTTTGAATCTACGAACTCTCTCTCTCTCTCTCTCTATGCACATAGGACTAGTCGTTAGAGTTAACCTTTAGAGTTTAGAGAAAGGATAAACTGTATAATCGCCCCTAAACGAATTTATGTTTTTTGCATTTATTCTCAGATGTATCCAACCTATTGTAACCTTTTGTATTTACTAGTTAGTTATATAATAAATGCTTTGTTTATTAGTTAACCCTGTCCTGTCATTGAAAGGCACTTGCCGACTTACCAACGTCCTCCCCACTCACTTCTTAGCTCTCCTAGCCAATCCGACAAACAGAGAACGGGTTTTACCAGCCCGTGCA